CACACATACACACGTACACACATACACACATACACACACACATATGTACACAGTCATTGATGACAGGTAGTTTGCATTCGTTTTATGCACGAAATACAAGCGGTATGTACTGCTCCTGCTCCCTTACGCCATGCATACACATACCGCCCACATACACATACACACATACATGCACACACATACACACACATACATATATATTTATATAACAATTTTGTTAGGCGACAGGTTATTGCAGTCGATTCGATTCGATTCAATTCGAGTTTGCAGAGAGGTTGTGTGTGTGTGTGTGTGTGTGTTTGTGTCTGTCCATCTACCTGTTCATACTATTTCACACCTGGCTGTATTATAAGACGTGACGTTCTATCCATCTGTCCTTATCATTTACTTTACGCTTTATGCGCAATAATTTACACTAATGATTAGTAAATATGATTAATTCATTCAAATTGCATTTCATGATAGCACTAATAATCATATAGTAAAATGGAACTTACTTTTTTTTAATCACAAGATAGTATTAGCACTGTTTAAGCTTTACATTTTTACAGGTGTAACCATTGGTCATTTCGTTTCGTAATGAATAAAATGAGCTTAGAATTTATATTTCTTTACAAAAAAATATCCGTCTCATTCATATTGAAGGAGAAAATTCATTGTAATTTGGCTATTTACTTATTCAAATTAGAACAGGATTGATGAAAGTATAACTTCTCATTGGTTTCCCTGACAACTCCATTCCTATCCCATGTCTACTTTATTTTACAATTTTCAATGTTAATTTATATATTCTTTCGCCCATTCCTCTCCAAATAATGAATTTGTTTGCACTTAACTCAAAAAATATATCTAAAATTATCGATGACATTTTTAATATTTGACTAATATTTCGGATGATAATGGACGATTATAGCCAAATGAATTAGTATGTCATTTTATTATTCATTTTTTTCGCTTCATAATATGACATTAAATTTATTTTTAGACTTTAGAAATGGGACAATAGCGTGAAATTTTGTTTTATTTATTTATTCATTTTTTTTTCCGCTCTCGGAAATTTTGTAATTTTCAGAGATACTAACAGATGATTAGATTTTTGAACAATGCTTGAAATGAAATATGGTGATAATGGCGATGCATTAACGTTGGCAAACAAGAATCGTGTGACAAGTAAAAAAATCTTCGAGCAGTTACAACAGGTTTGCAAAAAAAAAGTTCCAAAAATTTTGTCAAATTTCATATTCTGAATGGCATGCTTTTTCTGATAGAAGTTTTTGAAAAATTTTTTTTATCGGTGACATTTTTAATATTTGACTAATATGTTTGTTTCCATTTTCGATAAATTTAGCTGTCAATTTTAGGAATTATGCTTTGCTTTTCAACATCAATTTTTTTTTGGAATAAGTTCGATTTTTGTCGATAGAAATAAGCAAGTCCATAACTTTATCATTAAGAAATGATTTGGAAAAAAACAGTAATTATCACCCGATATTTTGATTTAGGGACAGTTTTGAAGCTTACTTTCAAATTTCGAAACTTAAATTTTCTCTCTAAAATTTTATATCAATAATTTCAAATTCGAAACTCGTTTTTAAAGATATTAATTTGAAGTACGCAATTAACGATGTTATTGAGATATGGAAAAAATGAGTAACTTAATTATGAATATAAACTCGCTAAAAAACTACGTGTTCTATGATAAGCTTGATATTGTACTATATACATATATACGTTTGTCTGCTATTTGCATAGGATGAAATTCATTTCAAACAACACATCTAAGAAAGCATCAATATGAATAAACAAAATAATTTCATGACTGGAATTTTAGTTAGCAATGTCTGGTAATGTTTGTGATAATCTTTGAAATGTTAATTATCATCATCCCGTTAGCATTTTCGAAGTTTACAAATTCTTTACACATTTCGCCACGCTTGTTAAAGCTTATATTTTTATAATATGAATTTTAAATTCCACTTATTTTGTCAATGTAAAATTTTAGAACAATGTTTCCAAATTTGAAAGTGATTTCAAAGTTGAAATCATCGATTGTAATTATGTAAGAGCTATGCTATAGGTTTTCCTTCCATTTCTCTTTATGTTCAATTCTACCGGTTTTAGTTGATGCTTAATAGATTTTCGAAATTCACAAATATTTTTTTGTTTCAGTCAACACGTTCATTAGCTCATATTGCTCAAACTGAAGGCCACATGTTACACAGACAACCTTCTGGTGCACAGAAAAGAATACGGCAACGACAGGAGCAGAAGTGCGTTTGCTTTCATTTCATATGAAATGTAGGAATATGAAGTATGTATTGAATATCTATAACAGAAAGCAGCAACATTCTTAACAAAAGAATCTATAAAAAATAAAATAAAAAAAAGGCTGTTTCGGAACATTTATTAGCAAACAACGATACACTATGATAACAAAGATAGTAAAGAAGTTATTTCGTCATTTTTCTATTTGGATAAATTGATGAAGTCTAATTAAATGGGAAATAGTTCATCTTCAGTTATGAATTCGAAGACTTTATGAATGAAAAGCAAGTAAGTCGTTAAGTGATCAGAACTAGAGCTACAATAATAAATGTGGACAGGATATTTAAATAATAGATGTAGCAACTGTAAATTTTTTAAATTGCGAATTAATAAAAAAGTGTTTGCTACATATAAAAAGATGGTGATGGATGAAATTTTATCATTATTTCCAAATTTATGCCTATAGCATTTATTAATGAACATATTGTAAAAAATATAATACTTGAGAAAATCAGAGTCAGTGTGATCATATAATAAGATTACTGAATTATCTTTCGATCAAGAAATTCGAGGAAGTTATCTTTTGTTTTTTGTTATTTCTGAATTTTTTTGACTGAATTTTGCACTCGTATTCTTCCTCCTTGGTACATGATGATGTAAATAATTACTTTTGGATTAACCCTTTTCTAGATTTCTTTCTCCTCTAAAGCTAAAATTGAAATTAAACGAGTACTTCATTTGTCTATACTTTCCGAAATAGTGCCCATGCATATTTTTTCATCTTGGTAATATTTTTTGTTACAACTTCATCATACTGTATTTTCATTATTATATTTTTTGACATTGCATTTAGATACATTACAGATGGTTAAAAGCTATTTCGGCTAATGTTAGCTCATGCGATGTGGAACGTAACCGTACACAACCAGGACCAGAAAAAAATGCTTATAGATCTTTGATTGATTCCGGCAGTTACAAATCAATTTTACCAGAAGAACTGCCTTTTCCTGTTACTTCTCCTTCCGTCACTTCTTTATCTAGGTAGAATCTGTCTTATGGTTGCAAATTTTCAATTGTTTTAAGCTTTAAAGCTATGTAAAAATTTCATTAATTAGTATAAGTCTGGAATTTTATAGGAATACATTTGTGCGCTCAGCATCAATAACTTCTATGGGTAAAGCGACATTTACGCCAGCTACATTTCAAAATAGCACCAGCATTGCTTCATCAACAATTGCTGGTAATTTTTTCCATATGGTTTTTATTTTCTATCTCGAAAAAAAATATGACATTCTGTTTTGGTAAGCAGACTGTCGAAAAATTTGCTAGTTGGTCAAAAAATCTGAGTGCACGCATATAAATTAATGATTTTTGAAAGTTCTGCTAAAATATGCTTGATTTGACATATTTGATTTCGTTAGATTGATCTTATTTCTCACCAAAGGAATTTCTGTATGAAACTTTTGATTTTCAAAGTTAATTTTTGAAACTTTAAGCAAACTTTCAAAATATGCAAGAAAATGCTTTCATACAAAACTGTGAACATCCAAGTAAGTAAGTAATATAAAAGTGAACAATCCTGAACAAAGCTCTTATCAGAATAACATCTTCACTCGTAATTTCATTCCTTCATTGTTTGTTATTTTGATTCAGATCAGGAAAACTGGATTACACAGTTTATTATAAGTATCTGCTATATGGCGAATATTTATATCTGTTAAATTGATAGGATCATAAATTACTCAATTTTTAAACATTTTAAAACTATTTTATTATGAAGTGTAAGGACGTCTCTTTTTCCTTTCTTATGACTTCCTTTAATGAAGTCCTTCATTATCAAATACTCTTGTTATGTAATCCTTGTTAGATTGACAAAGCTATTCTTAACTATTTAAAATCGAAGCAGGTTTCTTTTTCAACGATCATTCTTCATTCAGGTACCTATTGTGTATATATTTCGAATATCATTTTAAATTCCTAAGAATCTTATTCCTTGTTGACTGAATATTCTTTATTATTATTATTTAGGTAATTGTATGTTTTGCAAGGATTACTTCTCATCAAAATATTGACGAAAGGAAATCATTTTATTCTACCCATTTTATCATGCTGTTATTCTTTTTTAATGCAAAACTTATTAATACTGCTGTTAATCTCCCTTCGTGCTATTATCTTTTCTTTACTTTATAGGTGGTAAACCAACGGTACAGGTCCATCCAATGCCATCAAGCCTACCAGCCAGTAGCATGGTTGCTACTGTGTTAACATCATCAGCAAACACCAATACTAACACTGATATTACATCGGAAAAAATACGCGAGAAACCGGTGGTACCAAAAAAACCAGCGAAGTTAATCCTATCCGCTACATCTGCCTCTGTCGAAGTTGCTTCATTAACTCCACTTGGTGTGAGTACATCGAGTTTAAATCTTTTTTCACCGTCAACGCAGTCATCACCATCAACTAGCAATAGGTTTGCACATTTCGGATTTATTCTTTATTTAGTTGGTCAAATTTTCTGGTATCATCTATCTCACGGAACCACAAATCATTTCTTCCTTTCTGTTCCATCCGCAATAAAAATTACTGTACAGTGCAATTACTACAAACTTCAAATATCTAGTTTGTAGTTTAAAGCTTATTTTTTGGATTATAAGCAGCTTAAAACTTATTTTTTGGATCATCCAAAATTTTTCAAGATGTGGAACTTTTAGAAAAAAATTTCTATTTGAAATTTAACAGTTTTAAATAGCCGTATTACCACTTGCTATAGCATTAAATGCTAGTGCATTAGGACGGTTACAAATTATATAATTATTATACTATTTAAATTATAGTTATTATATTATTAACTTAAGTTGTTATTTTACTTTGTTTTAGCTTCCGTCTATTTTCAACCCCATCATTCATTTCTCTTCATACTGCTCTGATGCAGTCCAGTTTGACAGATGAAGAAGTTGAACAACTGGAAACGAAGCGTAAGAAGGTTAGAAATTAAGTCTGAGACTGCAGAAATAGATGCTGAAATTTCGAAATTTTCATGTTTTTATAAACTTTTGCGTTTTTTAACTCTCTGCAAATGTAGTTTGCTATTGAGATATCTACTTTAATGTTAATAAATGTCTCTGCTTGTTTTTTCAACTTTTTATATTTGTCTCTCGTTACTTTTCTTAGTTTTCAAACTTTTTTTGTAGCTTATCGAATCAATTTCGCGCAAAATTGTAATATTGGACGAGGAACGAAATACAGTTGATGAAGATTTTAATCTAAACGAAACTCTAAAAAACGAAATATTCAGTGATTTAACACAAACTGGTGACTCAGCTATTTTAGAAAAAATTGAAAAGAACCTCGCACAAAATTCACAGCTATGCAGGTAAACTATACTTCTATGTTCAGATTACAATAATTTGACAAAAATGCTATTGTTGATCACTATAATCGAACATAAATCTGAAATATTTGAAAAGGAAGCGTATAAAACAAGGAATAGGTTGAAGGACGAATAATTTATTTCAAGTTGTAGAGGCTGACTATTTCTATGCAATATTTTTTTTAACATTTTTTTTAGGTGTCTGACTTTAAAAGGAAAATTTTCATTTCTTTGAAATTTATGCGTTATAAAGTGAATGTCCTTCGGTTTAAAAACACTATGAGTCGTTATTGAATTTTGGAGGGAAATAGTAGAAAGGAAAATCATCCTAAAGAATAATTCGATTTGATTAAAATACTTTTAAAGTGTTTTGCGAATTGATTTAAACTGAACTATTTTCGTTTAATTCTTTTCATCTTTTTAAAATGATTGGTTTTGCAAAAAAATATTTTTTTGTCCAATGTTTTAGTTACTTTAAGACTTTTTCTCAAGTGTATAAATCATCAGCTAAACTTAGAATTAATTTGTGGAGATTTGTCTTTTAGACTTGAAACAAGGTTACGGATGCAGTTAGATCGCTTACATTCAATTTCGATGAGTAATGAGAATGTCGACAAAGAGCTTATTAGTGCTCGTATTGAGCGTCTGAAACGACAGCTAGATGACCAGACAATACTGAGAAAAGCTTTCGATAGGCGTGATGCTGAAGTTGATAAATATATCTTTTCAAGATTAAACGATGAACGAAGATCACAGTGGAGGTAGATTTTTTCTGCTCCTAATTTTCTTGAAATTTATATCCTCATCTGTCAACGTCAGTTATAACTTTTCTGATTGTTGATGAAATTTTTAAGATTTTAATGGTTCAAAGGATGAATGAATTTAAGGGAATCTGATGTTTAAACTTAGAAATTGACGTGTTCTCTTTTGTAGGATTTACAAGGAAACCTGGAAACGTCTAACAATCGAACGACAAGAAATTGATGAGCGACTTTTTCTTGGACGTGAACAAATCAGTGCCTTACGAAGTGTGCAGCCACATATTTAGTTGCCTTCTACTAATAAATAACCATTATTGTTTTATTAGTGCAATCACTGCTTTTTCAGATTTCAACTTGATATTAATGCGCTACATTTGTGAAAATTTGTGAATTATATAAAATTTGTATGTAGTTTTCACGTAATTTCCAATTTTTCAATTTGAAGAAAAAATGATAAACTCATTCGTCTTTTTCAACGAAAAGGAGTTTGTTTTCAGATGGTTAAAAATAAATTCAAAATAAAAGCTACTTTGTTTGCACCAAGTGTGAAAGGCATATTTGTGTCACTATTGTAATATTATGAGTTAAATACGTTATACTCCATTTGGCAGAGCAACTTATTTCACTTTTATTTTATCTAACATAATCGAATGGTCAACATTGAAAGCCTGAAGTATTGGTTGAAATACGATGTTGGTTGAAACTTATTTCGGCAGATGGTGGCTTATGGTCTGAATCTGTTACGGCTATTTTTTAATCGATCAACTTCATTTGTAGCTTTATTCGAAATTCAGAAGCAAGATATTGCTATAATCTTATTGACTAGTCTAAGCTTCATGTTTTTGCGTTGTTTCATCAGTGTATTTCAGTGAAGTTAGTGTATTTCTCAAAAAGATAGTTTCCTCGATAGTTTCCTCGATTGTTTTATACCTGTTAAATTACAGGTGAGGGAGAATGTTAACAAAAATGCTTAGAGAGCATGATGCTGCTCAGCAACTAAGAAGAGAAATGCAAGGTAAATACATTTATCCTTATATTTTTGCATTCTTGACAGGTAAATACATATTACTTTTGTTTTTCTCAATCATATTTTGATTTGTAAATTAGTTCAGTTATTATTTCGTGATTTATTTTAATACGTCCAGTATTAGAAGATGCAATTTACTGTAAGTTAGCAAAGTAATTTAAATCATTTTCAATGCAGAGAAAAGGAAAAATGAAGCCATCGTAGCGGCACAGAGTTTAACAGGTGCTGTCGTCGATCATCTGAATTATTCGTTAGTGTTTTATTTTAATTATAAATACCACTACACTTTTGGCATAAAAATTAATTATAAACTTTTATGCGTTTTGTCTGTGCTTCTACAATACATTTCCCATTTCCGTATTCGCTTTTTATTTCTCTTATTCTATTTATCAAATTCTTGAAGTTCTCAAAAGAATTGTTTCATATTCAGCTCATTCTAGTGTTTCCCAAGCTTATAACAATCAGAAACGACTGGATGTAGAGGTAAAGAAGTTGGAGAAAAATGCCATAGAACTTGCACAACAAACGGAGCAATGGATACAGATTACCGATTCACTCAATCAAGCTTTAAAAGTTCGTATTCGAAAGAATCTATTGTGCAGCACAATAACATCAAATGTTCATATCTAGAACACTGTTACAAGATTTTTATGCTTAATGATTGGTCAGAAATAAGTTAAGAGAAAGATTGGCATCATAAACCTCACAGTATATATTTGATTGAAGTTTAGGACCAGAATTTAGATTCTGAAATAATGTGCAGAGAAAAAAATTTTATACTATTGTTACTCATTGTATGAAAATTCCTATTTTTTTGAGGTGGCTGAACCTAATATAGCCGGAGAGCGGATTTCGGTAGAAAAAATCGTAATTTTTAATAAATTATATATATTCATTATTATCATTTTTATTTTGATTCCTATCATTATTCAGGAAATTGGGGACGTTGAAAACTGGGCAAAGACAATTGAAACCGATATGAAGATTATATCCAGTACATTGCAAGCAGTTTTTGAAGGTAGCAGGAGAGCTTTCTCACCTAGAATTCTTTTTCTTAAATACCAGAATTCTTTTTTTTTTTTAAAAATATCTTTTAGGCGAAAATCTTTTTTAAAATACCTTTTGGGCGAAAAATGTCGTTCATTTTTCAGAAATTTAAAAAGTTCCGTAAGAAATTGAATCCCCAAAAAAGTTTTAGTATTAGAAGGAAAATAAAATTGATCAGCAACAAATACAGTAAGATAAACATTATAATTATCAAGATTTATAAAGAAAAAAGATATATTTTCATTAGGTTAAACTGCTATATATAGAAATTGTGACATTTTCACTATTTGGTTTGCTGTATTAGGATATATTCTCAAATAAATCAGGTTCTGTGGTATATTATCTTCATGACTGACAACATATATATAATTTGGATGTTTATAAATAATAATGAACAATAGCGGCACTTAAATATATTCCTATTTGAGACGGTTATGCTTTGTTTTATAAGCAATATGCTTAGTTAAAGGGACAATCATTTTATTTTAATTTTGAACATTCGCTTAATTTTTATTATTTGACAATAAAATTATTCGGTGAAACAATTATTTCTATGAGCTTTACTCTTCCGTTATCGAATGACTTTGGAGAGCTGAATTCATTTCATCTAAAATATTTTGGCGGTATTATTTTCTTTGCTGTGTATGATTTATTAAAAAGTGCACTATTTACAGAAAAAAATAATTTTTAGAAAAGCAGTTATAACTTCTCGATTTCGGCAGTCAACAGATCAATTTCCTTCGTAATAGTTTCCTTTCGCGCGATTTTTTCGAGTTGTGTTTTCTCTGGATTTTCCAGTTCTTCACTTCTGATTATTTCTTACAGTAATTCTTATTGCTTTATATGTAATGAAAGAATACATGAATGCAAAAATAAAATAGCAAAGTGCATTGGTATAGCTCAAAAAAAAAAACAAAAAATTCTATTACAATAGAAGTTACTTGGTGGGGTTTCCTCGGCAAACGCAATCTTGATGCACCATGTTTCTTTTGTATAGAACGTCCTTCATTCACTTCTGGCACTTTTATTTCCTTCCGACATCCTATAAATATTAAACAGAAACAAATTAAAAATCTAAAATCACCTGTTGAATGATATGTATATATGTTACTGATTGTAGAGGAAATGAATAAATAGAGAATTGCTATTCCAATTTTTTTCCTTGCTTTTTCACTTTTCATTCCAATTATTTAATTTCTTTTCCTTTATAATTGTAAGTCTGCTTTCTCTGTCTCTTTTTCTGTATTTTCTTTTCTACTCCTCTCCTTCTTCGACAATAGCTCTTAGTTAACGACAATTTCTATTCAATTATTTTTGGTCGTTCAGTTTTGTAAACAACAAAACTTATTTTCTCTTACGATGTATACGACAAAGGATTTTGGCAATCGATAAAAAATTGTTTTCATTACTTTTAAATTTTACAAATGTTTTGCAAATTTGCAATCAGAAGCGCTTACACTTGCTTTGTTATGAACTAGTTTGTTGGCCAATCAAGTCCTGTAATTTAATTCAACGCCAAGCATTACGTTTAACGTCCAAAATGTCCAATGTATCAAACATTATATCAACTTTCATTTTTATCTTAAATTTCACAGATCATAAGAACGTCTCACTAAATTAACGAACCATTAGCTTTAAGAAAACTGCCATAAATGACCGACATTATCTTCAATCTTGCTAAGTAACTAAGCTTAAATAGCTTTAGGATAAATATTTTTCATTGCGAACTAGCAATTGTAGCATAGCAAGGTTGAGCACGTATTGACCTTAAGGCGCAAATATTACTTGCGACATTTGGTTCTGCATGATGGTGCTGTGCTTGGGTAAATTTGGTATAGCGCAAACAGTTAGGTAAATTAGTGAAGTAAATTTGCTGAGATAGTATGTTATGCCAGTAGAATATATATGCCGATTTCTGTGCAAATATTGAGAACTGGTTACGATGTCTAAAAAATTCGCCAATACCGAATAAAAATAAGCATTTTTCTGAATAGATACTTCCAAAAATAAATAATACTTTATACCCACTTTTTGAGCAATATAGTTTCTTTTTTTTTTGAAGTATAATGGTATGTCCACCATGTTATCGTATTCGCTTTTTTGTCTCTTGTTGTAACTCCAGAATACTCTGCGCTAGTTAGTCACTCAGTTCATGGATCGCATAATCACTGCATCTTTCATTTTCTTGTTACATTATTTTTAGAAAGATTCAAGATAACTGTTCATTTACAATCCTACTTTATTCACCCAAAAATGATAATATTTACATTGTATAGCAATTTGATCTCGTGGAATGCAATAAAGTTCCTTCTCAGATTACTTAAACCTTCTGGGATTAACTTTTATCATATTTCGCTGCTATCACATTATTTTTAGCATACAGTTGTTATCAAATAAGAATTTATACAATTGATAATCATTATTCTTCTATATCATTTTATATAAATCATTATTCTTCTATATTCTTCTATGTTTCGTAGTGTATGAAATGCAGAGATTTATTCCTCATATTGATATGCCATGGCACTTTTTCAGTTTCATTATTATTGAATTTCAGTTTTTGTGAAATGTCTCAGTATTCGTAATATGATGAGATAAGATTGTTGATAAGTCATTCGAGATGGATGAAGCTAAGCCGTCTACAAGTTACGAAGGACTTGATAATATGCCGCCGAATGCGAAGGACCTTGTGAAACGCCTATTTGATGCAGTGGATATAATTCAGGTTGGAACACTTCAAATATTGAGAATTTTCAAGAATTTAAGATATCAATAAAGATGGTTTAAGGAGAGGGAATGACAGTCCTTCAGCGCAAAAACGTTACCGCAAAAACGATTGCTTATACTGGGTAACAAATATTGGCAAATCGTTAAAATTTGGAGATGTTGACTGACACTATTGCTTTGACCTCCTTATCGGTATAATGATTTAATTTTATCTCAGTGCCGACTTATAAAATGTGCTATAAATTCTTAGATCTAATTTTAGTAGCAATTTATGGAATTAGAGTACACTGCTTCACTAACATATTTTTCTGTCAAAGCATATCCTTTTTATACGGTAAAATCCCAATTATTTCTGTCGTAACTTGTACAGCTTGATATTCAGTACTTTTTCCTTAAATGTAAAGGGAATTCAGAAACCGTTGCAAAAAATGGTTGAGTTAGATGCCGCCTATCAAGCGGTCATGCGAGAAGTAGAGAGAATCCAGGATACTTTCAATGAAGGACTGGTTAGTATTTCGTTTGTCCAATAAAACAGAAAATTTGTCAATTTTTTTTCTATTTTCAAGGTAAATTTTTTCAAGTTGGTTTCTTACGATGATGCTCAATGTTCCAATTATTCATGAAAGCAGAATTTCTCTTATTTTCCAGCCTACATCAATTTAGCTGAGAATGAAAGATTTTTATAATCTGCAAAATTTAAGACGGAAATGAATCGTGAACAAGTTGATGAATTATTCGATACTTTGGAAAACGAACTGCGTATGGCACAACATCTAGCATTTTGGAAGTCAGGCGTAATGTTTGACGTAGATACAAAGTTGCAGAATTTAATTGGTCGACAAACTGATCCACAACAAAGCAAACGTAAGCGCTTTTGGCTGAAAAAAATCTAACTATTTACCAACTTTAGAAATAATGGAAATAACTTTTTTTAGCTACGAAAATCCTTTGTTGCGCGATTTTTTGAAAAAATTGCAAAAAAGATTTGCAGTTTAAAAAACTGAACAGTGAAGTTCAAAATGACTGAATAGGATTTCTATCAATTTAGAACTTGTTGTCGAAAAGGGAAAGGCGCAGAAGATAGCAAGACGAGGAAAAGGGAGAAGTCAGTGGCTTATCAGAAAGCAAGAGAAGTTAAATAGTGAGAACGAAAAATGAAAGAAATGAGGAAAGAAAAAACAAAGTCCAGAGATATCAAAGAGAGGGAGGAGGGGAAAATTTTGTTCGAAGAATGCATTTAATTCAAAAATAATTTCCTTTGTCTGCTTAATATCGTGGGTACAAACTTTCATTGTAAATGTTTTTCAGCTTTATAACTAAAGCTGATGCTCTGATTTTGTGGTCTTTTTAAGAATTGTTTCTAACATCCATAACTGATCATCCTCAGAAATTTTTTCTATTCATTGTTCAGATATCAGACGTCTCTTGCATATATTACGCAACTTTGCGATTAAACAGCATTGATTTCATTAATGAATTTTAATCCTTAGTTACTATGAACATCATTTTTTGCAGAACAGATAACTAAATCAAAGGGACCTCGATCAAAACGTCAGGCTCCAATTACAAGAGAGAATATACGTCGGATCGAAAGGGACACACGATCGCAATCTATTGTAAAAGGAAAATCAAAAGATTCTCCTTCTCCACCGATAGCGTCAGATCAGGTTAACACTTTGTAATGTTTTCTGTTTAAACGATCTATAAGATATTTTTTTTTCATAGGTTGCAAACAAACTCTCTTACCATTTCATAATTCGGTTTGTACTCGGTGGCGGTACCTGATCACTGCTCTTGAACAATTAACAATTCATACAATTTCATGAACATTGTTCTTGTAGATCATTGAAGTTATTTTCACATAAATAAGCTTGACTCGTCTGCACAGTAATATTAGCTTTTACTTTAATTTCAAAATGAAAATTAAAAAAGCTGGTATTTGTAAATTTCTGCCAGTCTGCATCTTATCTGAAGTCGTTATTTGGAACGTTTCGATTTCTGATTTGTTTCTGTTTAGTATTTATCGGGACGTCGGAAGAAAATAAAAGTACCAGAAATGAATGAAGGACGTTCTATACAAAAGAAACGTGGTGCAGGAAGACCGCGTTTGCCGAGGAAACCCCGCAATGTAACTTCTGTTGTAGCAGAAACAGTAGAAGGCGAGAATGTTCTCGATACCTTGTATTGTTTATGTCGGCAAGTAAGTATATACACATATATGTTGTTTGTTCATATTATAATGTGGTATGAACAATGAACCCTTCGTCTTAATTTTGTTTGAAATTCTTCTTTATTCTGACACATACTTGTTTGTGTTTTCTGTCTAATTTAAATTTGAATTATTTCTTTAGGTTTCTTATGGCGATATGATTCTCTGTGAGAATAAAAAATGTAACGAATGGTATCATTTCCCATGTGTCCAATTAAGACAGAAGCCGAAAGGTAAATGGTATTGTCCACATTGTCGTGGAGATCGATGCGATGTAATCAATCCTGATTTGATAAACTGACGAAAGGTTTATTTATTTATTCATTTGTCTTCTGTAAATCACGGATTAAAACGGCTAAAATCATAAGCATCGCTTATTTTTGTTTGTTGAATTTATGACCAAATGCTTTAAGACTATTTTTGATTATTTCAAGTTCTTTTAATAATTTAAATTGTAAATCGTCGGGTTTGCATATGTGTACATTGTAATTAGAATCATTTGATTTACCTTTGAAATTGATTGGTTTTAATTATCATTCGGAAGTCTTTTGTAGTAAGGGAAATGGGTGGTGTTAATCGTTAAGCCTACCAGACATTTTTAATGTTGCTAGGATTAGGATATTGATCCTGTTATTTTTTTTTGGATGAAAATGGAAGTTATACCAGTTTTTAATCTTTTAGTGTTTATTTTTAAGAATTTATTTTCAAAGAACAGAAGCCTATACTTTGGATCATTTCCTGCATAAGAAAATATTGCGGAAAGATGACTTGTGGAATGACTTGTGGAACTTGCGGAGTCTTCAATATTTGTGAACACAACTCCGATTCCTTGTTGTCCCATATTATGCTGTGTTTTCTGAGGAGTTTATAAATTTGCAGGAAAAGCACTAGTTTCTCTTTTACAACGTATTCCCGATGATATTTTTTCTGTTTGTTCCTTCATATTCCTTGTCTGCATGTATTGAGCCACTGCTTTTTCTAAAGTTTAGTTTCCCTTTCCCATTACATTTTATTTATTCGTTCTATATTGGCACGTATCTGTGATTATTTATTTTATTAAGTGCGAAATTGAAAATACTAAATTCGAGAATTGATAACTTCGTATAGATTGTACACCTTATCATTTGTTTTAAAATATTTTTGAACTGTAGCACACTGTATTGTTGTTGTACAAATTACTGTGGTTCCAAATCAGAATGTGAAAGAAGCTAGCCCTGTGTAATAATCGTGATTGTCATCTGTCGACTTTACCAAAGTGTGGCGAGAGTAAAAACCATTATGTTGACTGTTTTGTTGTTTTTAGTAATGATTGACTCTTACTAGTTAGGAAGATTTCTCTCTCATATATTCGGGTATGAAATTTTACAAAACAATGATATCAATGATTGTAAGCATGTCTTGCGTTTTTATATTTACATTAAATGCTTTGTTATGAAAAATATGTAACGAATAATTTCTCGCCAAGATTATTTATGACTTAGTCTAATTTATGTTTTTTTATATATCATGCTCTTTGCATATTGTCATACGGGAAATAAATTTTGCACTTAGTGCATATTAATTTTAGAAGTCATTTTGTTCATGTCCCTCTTTCGGATAGATGGATGGGTAAATACATTCCGATTGTATCATATTTTTCAATTACGAAGTATTTCTTTTTTATAATGGATGGGTGGGCGCATTAGCGATATCTATTGGTCTCCATTTTTTTCAATATCACAATTCAATGAATTAAAGGAAAACCGTTGCTTTTATTGATGCGATGTTCAGACGGTGCAGTTTATAATGCAAAAGAATTGGAGAAACCTTGTATTGTTGCTGGCGGCTTATCCTTTCAGATATCGGATTGTGAGCTTTCTACGTTTATTGTTCTTTTTAGGAACTCCATGTTACTATGTCATCAAAAGATTTCATTGGAGACGTTCGTATAAAGACTAAAACTGGTGAGTGAGTGTCGTGCTTTTCCTACCTATGAGTAATTGCCGTATGTATTGAGTCTCACTAATTAGTGTATTTTCAACGAGGTTTGAACGAAGCTGATGGTTTATAGTCAGTCCTGAACTTTTACTGTTACGCGCAGTTTTCATGTGATAGTTTTCGTCGCTTGAAGTTGTAGGGAATTAAATTGACTTATATCATGATCTTTTTGCTCATTTATCAGAAAAAGCTCATTGGAGGTGAAACATATATAGCAGCTTCTCAACGTGCTGATGGAACATGGAGAAAAGCAAGAAGAGTGAAAGATGGTTACATCCCACAAGAAGAGCAACCCAGGTACGAATCTCGCGGTCAACAAATGAGCAACAAAACTACATATCCGGTTGGTTGGTCGCCCACCGAAGTTGTGAAATCTAAAAAGGTCATTTTTTTATCCCGGGGTAAGAAGTGTAAATTCGAAATTCATCAAGTTTAACACTGTGAATCTTGTTGGTGGCAAGTGAAACTAGATTGGCTGAGATCTGGAAAGCTTTCTTTAAAAATGTTGAAGAAATCCCGGTGCATAATACTTGATAATTTGTAAGTTACTAAAATAACTGTCTGGTAATATATGAAATAAAACAATTTCTGTACATATTGTTTATTACATACAGATTTGATTTCGTGAAGTGCTAAAGAAATTTTATGTAACCATCTCACTGTTCATTTGTTCAAGAATTAAGTGACAATCCGTGAATCATAGCTATTGTTCAGAAAGTAAACCTTGTGATATTTAGTTCTTTTCTTCAGAAAACTAAGGAACAAGAGTTGAAAAAACCGATTGCTGCAACATTGAGACCAAATGCTCCAATCACTCCTCGTGAATGTATTGAAAAGAAGATTAACAATTTGAATAGGAAGCTACGAGATATAGAAGTGCTAGAGGTAAGCGGATATTTCTTTTTTTATCATTTCTGCATTAACTGACTCTAAGCGAATTACATTTCAGAAGCCAATCATAACTCTCGATTAATTTTGAAATGTTGAATTTTATTTTTTTTTAATGTTATGCCACTGCACTTTGCGTTTTATTTTTGCATTCTTGTATCCTTTCATTACATATAAAACAATAAGGATTAGTGTAGGAAAGGATCAGAAGTGGAGAGCTGGAAAATCCAGAGAAAACACAACTCGAAAAAATCGCGCGAAAGGAAACTATTACGAAGGAAATTGATCTGTTGACTGCCGAAATCGAGAAGTTATAACTGCTTTTCTAAAAATTATTTTTTTCTGTAAATAGTGCACTTTTTAATAAATCATACACAGCAAAGAAAATAATACCGCCAAAATATTTTAGATGAAATGAATTCAGCTCTCCAAAGTTATTCCATAACGGAAAAGTAAAGCTCATAGAAATAATTGTTTCACAGAATAATTTTATTGTCAAATAATAAATAAAAATTAAGCGAATTTCAAAATTAAAACAAAATAATTGTCCATTAACTAAGCACGTTGCTTATAAAACAAAGCATAACCGTTTCAAATAGGAATATATTTAAATGCTGCTATTGTTCATTATTATTTATAATTATCCAAATTATATATATGTTATCAGTCATAAAGATAATATACCATAGAACCTGATTTATTTGAGAACATGTCCTAATACGGCAAAGTCCAATGGTGAAAATTTACAATTTCTATATATAGCAACCTGACCTAATGGAAATACGAAAATACATATCTTTTTTCTTTATAAATCTTATTAATTTAATGTTTATCTTACTGTATTTGTTGCTGATCAGACTTTATTCCCCTTCTGACACCAGAACAAATAAGAAATTTCTGGCCTGTTGGATTCTTGCATATTTAGCATATGTGTTTATTGGGAAAGTTGTTTTTGTGCTTTATTAATTTTTATCATCTCTAATTACTTTCTTGAGAATTCAATTTCTTATGGAAGTTCTTGTTTTAAATTTCTGAGGAACGGCATTTTAAATACTTTTTTCATTATCTCCTAGGTAGTTTTTTAATATGAATGATGTGTTCTGAAAAATATTTTCTGCAACAAATCTATGTTCACTTATGTTAATTTATTACTTGCAACCTCACTTTACGAATAATAATTTGGCAAATAACAAAGGAGTTTTGCAATTAGTATTTCGCCTGTTTGTGAGATTCCATGTTCACTTTCTATTTTGTTCCATTTCGGTTTTTGCTAAAAACAAATAGAATATTGAGACAGTAAGTCAAAACTTTATATAAAAATATACAAAAAGATACTGAAGTCAACGCATTTGGAAACGCAAACATAACATTCAAGAAACGATGAAATTAAAGCATTCTATAATTTAAACCTGTTTGACACTTTATATGCTTCTCGAGTTCTTATAATCACAATTTCGGGTTTCACATTTATGGCATGGGAAGTGAGGTGAATTTCGAATTTGATACAAAAAAATCGCAAATGAGGTCTTAGAAATTTTTTTCAATGTTTCCTGTTTAGTCACTAAGCGAAAGAATTTCCTCAAATGTTTCCAAAGTTTCACATCGAGAAATTAAATGGGACTAAAATTAGTTAAAAGGCGGTTGAAATGTGCTAGACCTAGGATTTTATTAAATTATAGGTTGAAAAATTCAAATTAAACTATGATGAAATGAAAAAAAAATTTACTCTTCACTTGTGATTCATTTGGTTTTGTTGCCTAACAAAAAATTTCCTTCTAATTATTCAATCAAATCTCACTGACAATATGATCGTCAAGTATTTACTTGTATTTAATCCAGCGTAAGAATTGTTTTCGTTGTATTATATTATATAAATTAAAATATTAAATTGAATCTTTACATATCATTTTAAATTTTACATAAATTATGCATATTTCCAATAGTTCATCCTGATGTAAATCATTTTAAGATGACACAATTAATGACATCTATTTTAAAAGGATTTTTCTATCAGTTCAACATATGGTATATAGAAAAGTATGGATATCACATTCTTAGTTCCATCGATCTATAGGAATGATTTTGATTCAGCGGGTGATTGTAGAGGCATGGATTCGAGAGATTCTTGTATGTGCTCTCGAGTTGGTTCAGTATTGATAGCAGCTGGATTGGCACATATTGCTGGCCGAGGTATTATTCCCATATTTGTATCTGTTCCTACTGCTACTGACCCGAGCATTGATCCAGCGGTAGCAAGAAATGGACGTGTAATACTACAAGAATGATTTTCGAAATTTCAAATCCAACGTTTAAATTTGAAAATTTAAACAATTCAAAAAAAATAATTTCAATAAATTAAGTATTAAGGAAAAAAACTGCTGCTTGAAGAAAAAAAAGTTTTAAAAAAAATATGCTACTAATCACATATTTAGTTAATCATTTTATCTGATTGTTATAGATTAATATTAAAATTTAACAATACAGTTATCATACAAGAAGGTATCATATGAAAAGTTTGAAAATATATTTGTAATTTTTTCAGTCAATGTTTATCAATTCCTTACTTTTGAGTGACAATTTTATGTTTTTTTTTTGAAGAATGGATAATATCAAATTAACCTCGGATCACACAATTTAGGTATCAGGGATGACCTCCATGCTTCATAGCAAAATGGATTAAGGAAATATGCGGTAATATGATGATCAAAGAATGGCCAATGTAGAGATGCCATCTTTTGTCTTTTATCTTTCATACGACGATTTTGAAACCATACCTGAAAACGTGTTCAAAATTTAAATCACCTGTCAAAACAAAATTGACAAAAATTGAAAAAAAAATGACTGTGTCAAATAAGTGTTAAACGAGAATTTTTAAGATTTGGAACACTGTATGTAGCAGGAATTTAAAAATTACTGAAATAATTTTCAAATAAATAATTAGAAGAAATAAAATGAATGATACATAAAGACAAAAGAACTGCCAAACTTATCATCAAAAAAATTCAAAGCCAGAATGTTGAAGTTTCACTGCATGGATTCTCAATATTATGTCAGCATTGCTATTGTTATCATTGTATTAACAGCAGTACTTAAAACATACCAATCATTTCTGATCTTCAATTTTTGTTTTTTCTTTTATTGTGACTCCCAACAAAATTTTTGAGATAATATTAATGTTTTGTTGAATTCAATTTTCTTAGAGCAGAACGTCTTTTTTTTAACACGAAGTTTTGAAGTTTCAATATTGGGAGCGCATTGATTCCGTAAAATGAGAGCACTCGAAGAATTTCCCGACAGAATGAAAATTAAATAAAAGAAATAAATTAGGATGGTATAAAAAGAACGCAAAATTTTATAATTACACTCTTATAAAATTGAAAGTTTTAGAAGCGATTACGAAAAATCCCCTTGATAAGGATTACTTTAATTGTAATATCATTTATATCATTATTGATTTATGAGTAAATTACTTTTATCTTTTTCATATCTTTCCTGCTGAATATTTTGCTTTCTCGATGATTATTTAACAAAAAATTCTGTTTGTTGTTTTGATAGGATTTTTGATTGAAGCTACAGTATACCATCAAAGAGAAAAAATAATTTTAATATTTGGTGATTATTTGAAGCGAAAAATTAGTGAATGGTTTAGAATGCTTATAAAGTCGGATGGGATGGTTGTATTTTGATAAATTGTCAATTTTGAAACGAATATATTGAATATGACTTGGAAATATTCATAAATTTCATTTTCACTCTCTCTCTCTCTCTCTCACTTTCCATGCTTCTATTAGACTGATCACGTATCATGGATAACGATAGCAAGAATTATGGTCTAAAATGACAAGACAAACATGACGGCCTAAAATGACAAGTCAGTCTTCTTTACAAGCAATTAAAATGCGAAAAAGTACAAGAGATTGGCTATAGACTATTGAAATCTTTCAAAAACCAAATAAATTGGTTGCTTTAGATTTAAGATGTTTAACTGAAAAGCCTTAGCAAAAGAGGCATATGATTTCAATATCATTTAGTCCAATTCATTTTATTTTCGCAAAGCATTCTCTTATAAATCGACGTCTCATGGGGAAAATGACAAGTCAGTCTTCTTTGTTCGCCTAAATCTACAGTAACTGCATCTAGAAGTTGCTTAATAAGAGTTTTAGTCTCACTAAAACAGCTCTAAGAACTCTCATTAATCATTTGTCATCCTAAATTATGAATGACAAGAAAATAAATAGATAAAAATTTCATTTTTTTAAAATTCAATGCTAATTTTAATTTTGCGACAGTTATATGAATAGATTTTAAAATGATATTTCGGTGATTTATGAAGATGATCAATTATTATGAACATTATGAAGTTTAGTCTTTAAAATGAAATTATGTGTAAAATGAAGTTCAAAATGAATTTTAAATTTTAAAATGAAATTATGAAATATAAACATCATGAAGATGATCAACTGCGCAGACAAATTATAATAAATCCGAGGTATTTCTTCAACAGATGAGATACCATAATCCTATAGAAGCAGTAGCAGTTGCTTCAATGATCAGCATAGAAATCATCAAATGACCAAAACAAATGCAAGATGGAAACCTTTCACTTACCTTTATGGTACCTTCAGGTAAATTGAGTTGCGTTGCTAATTCACATCTTTTTGGCCGTGATACATAGTTCTCACGTGCAAATTCTTTTTCCAATCGATTAATTTGCTCACGACTGAATGCCGTCCGATAGCGCCTCATTGCACCATCATCTCGAGATTCCGCTATAACTACGCTTATATATTCTTTGTATTTTAAATTATAGCAAAATATTGAAATGAAGTGAAACTTTGCATTTAGAATAGATATGAAATTTCAGTGGAATTACTAGCGAAACGACTCTTTAATGCAATCTTAAATATTAAAATAACTTTAATATATTCAGTTTTGAAATAATCAAACTGAAAACTTGATTGTTAAGAAACAATAGTAATACATTGAAATTTGGATAGCATTTTCCTAATTTCGACATCATATTCTGTTTCGATTCTTGTAAATTTGCTCTTACGAGATGATTATTGTCTTTTCGGTGCTAATTTTAATGAAGGTCATTCCTTGCCGCTAAACAATTAATACGATAGATACCAAGATTGAAAGTAATTGTGTCATTGTCGTGCGCCTAAACCACCGGATAGGTATGAGAGAAGTTGATGATGGATGAAAGGGCGCATATAACAGTATGAAGAGTAATTGTACATTTGATAATTCTGTCATCGTTCCTTTGCGGTTCCTCTTCAACGAACTTTTTACGAGCATTAGTTATTATCATTTAAATCAAGCAAAATGCCTTCTTTCATTTCTAGACAGTTTAAAAGGATAATGAATGCAATCGTTATATACTGTAACAATATTCAATCATATTCCATTCTTTCCAAAAAAAAAATCATATTTCATTCTCATTCAATTTCATTTCCTTTCTAAGGCGTTAGGAAAAAGCTGTCGGGTTCATCCAAAAATATCATTATGTTATTGTTTTCATAATATTTATTACGAGGGTCGTATAGCAATTATATCATTTTTACGACATGTAAATCTTCTATTTACACATGCCGCCAATCCTATATCATTTGTTCGGAAACCAATTATATCTTTAAAAATTCTACAAAGCATCCTCATTTGTTTTGTGTTATTAACTCATTCAATTCCTTTTATCTTTCCATTAATTTCACATTTACTATTTTTTATTTATCCTAAATAAATTAAACAAAAATTGAATTTCACACATAATTCATGGCAAAAAAAGATTATATATTTATATGACTCAAAAACATAAATAATAGTAAATTTAATAAAGTTGAGAAATATCGAAATAAAAACAGAAATATTGATAAAATGAGATGGTAGAAAAAAAGATTACCTTGAAACTGTGATACTAATGGGGTCATATGGTCCTATGGATGAATATATAATATATGCCCAATGTTTAACTACTTTTATGAATAGGTAAAGAGGGAAGAATAGAAATCGTAAATTGTATGATACACTTACCGTATCTTCTTTCATATCTACTTGAAAAATGGGAGAAAGTTACGAAATGCTACTATCGAAAAGGAGATGGTGGCATACAACATTTAACATTTAAAGTAATTGCAGATAAAATGGGTATAAATTTTATAAATCTAAATTTTGTAGATCATAAAACAATAAATTTTAAGTGATAATTGTTGAAATAGCGGAAGATAAAAGCAATGTAATATCAATCATTGAATAGCAATTTGATAAAAGCGTAAAAAAATAAATGTTAAAAATGCCAATAATGATCAATTATTTTGATCAATTGCTAAATTTGATTAATTACTAAATTTACTTAGAATTGACCATTATTAGCATTAAAAAAAATATCCTTTATTTACTCATGTACTACTAATTTTTGGCAGTACGACGTCATCCAAAATTATTTATCACTTAAAAAATGCAAATGTATTGTAATCTAAGATTCGGAAAGTAAAATTAATACTTCAAATTTAAAATTTATAAATTACAGATCGAAGATAATATTTTTCGACATTTTCCTTCTTAGCAAACATTTGTAAGGATATTCAAGCAAATATTCTGATACTCTTAATTTTTTTTAATTTGCAAATCAATTTATATTTAATTTAAAGAGAGATTTCTCTTTTTCATGGTAAAATCGTATGACTACTATAAATAAGTGAAAAATCAATTAAGCTTTTGAAAAAAACTGATCATTTGTTTTAATATACAATTAAATTATTGTGCAATTTCAATAAAAATATTATCATTTTCGCATAATATTATTTCAATAATTTAAATCATTGAAATGGATGCAACCGAGTGTTTGATAAGATCTGAAAATGATGAATTCATTGAATTAAGCAAACAACGGGGCTGATTGAATTTGAAATTCAAATCTTAAAGATTTGCACTGTAAAGAGATCAATTAATGCTTATTCTCTCCTCATTCTCTCATCAAATCTCCCTTTCTTTCTCTTTCTCCCTTTTATTCATAGATTTGAATTCAGTCTAGCATTTTTACTAATTACTCTCATATCTTACCAATATCTAATTTATTATTCCTATCGTTGAATTGATGATTTCTTTGTTTCCATTTGACAATAATAATACATCTATTCATATATGTATGAATTTGATGGATATCATTGCAATAAGCAAAAACATCCTCCACTAGTTGAATCACTTTAATTTGTTCATTTTCATAGAATTTTTCTCTCTCTCTCTCTTTGCCTCTTCTTCTCTTTCTTTTTTTCTTCCTCTTGATTATCGGATATTCAGATTTGCTTTATCTTACTAACTTTTATTTTCAAAAAATTTTAAAGTCAAAATATTCTTTAATTTACATTTCGTTTTAAATTTTAATTACAGAAACTTAGTTTTTTTTGTCGTCTCTTTTCTTTCTTCTTATTTCTCATATGTTATTTCATAAATATTTCGGAAATTTTTTTTACAAAATTTAGAAAAATAATCTCGTATCATTGGTCACATCACCATTGTTGTCTGTGCAGATATACGATACAATTCGGATAGAAAAGGATAGCAATATCAGAGGTCATTTGTATTTTATCCTATAATAATGTTGTGTCACTTGAGGAATATTCATACTATAGGATATTATCTTGTCTTCAGATAGAAGCTATCGGTGGGTTATGGAATTGCTTTGTAAATTTCCATAAAATACTTAAAAATACTACAGTGTGTTTAATTTTCATTTAAAATTATTAGTCGTAATAGTATTGTAATCTGTTTGCAGAAATATCTCAATTTGTGATAAAATTAGTTTAATTGAATCATAAAGTGTAATTATCGCCATATTATTTTTTTCTATTCTGTAAAATTTAGATAACAACTAAATTTGCTTTCAAATACCATAGCTTTCTTTTAAAAAGTCTCTAAATTTAAAGGGCTTAAAATCGGTTAATGGTTATTTGATTTTAATTATTGTACATCTTTTCAACATTTCAATAATGAGAAGTGCAATCTATTGATGTCATAATCCTGATCACATACAATTTACTAATTTAATTAAAATACACAATTGGAACAATTTCTAAGATCAAAAAAGCAATCTTCAAGTCTATTTTATAATAATAAAAAAGACAATTATATCTTACGAATAAGTTGCTTTCCTGAGAAAATTTCCGGAAAATTTCCTGAGAAAATTTCTTATGAAAAATTTGCAAAATTTTGCTGCGAAAAGCACACAGAAATAAAATTGAAAATATCGCTATTGCTAACCACCAGAACTTTTTTCGGAGTGGAAAATTTATGGTCAAAATTACCAGAAGATGGTTAAAATTCGACGGAATTTAAATAAATTTCAATAAATTTTCATCTAAATAAAAATTTAAAGGACATATATAACTAATGTACAAGTGGAAAAATGAATCCAAATGATTCTAAAAATAATTCATGAATTGGAAGCATTCATGTTAGTTAATAAAAAGCTCAGTACGGTCATGCAATTTGATCGTTAATTAAAAATGACGCAATTAACTTACAATCCATCAACAAAACCTTAAGTAATTCCTCTGAGAGGTAATAAAACAGATAATTTTAGAATTTATTATGATATAATACAGAAAAAAATATTAAAGTTTGCATCAAATTTTATTCAGAAATTTTCTAAAATATTTCAGTAAATTGGTTTGAAATTACTTGCAATATTTCACTGTGAAATTAAGAATTGTATAATAGATAATTTGAAATTTAAATAACTTTTAAAATGTTGAGTTTAAATTAATTTACAAGAGAATGATCGCCAATGAGCAATGAGCCAGTAATAAATGTATTGAAGAAAAAGTTATTAAAAAAAGGACTGGATAGAGAAAATGATTAACATCAATTTAATATCATATTGCAACCACAGTAAATGATTATCATTGATAATAGAGATTAATTGGACCGAACTATTAATATTTTAGTTTCTGAATAATTTTTAATCCATATTCTCTAACTAGTCGAGTGGATGATTAACAGTTACTTCAAAAAGTAAGATATTTCGAATAATTTAACCTCTAAATATTTCCTTGCTAAACAAATGAAATACACTTTAATCGAGATATTTAATTTATAACATTTTCGTCTCCACTACACTACTTAATTCATGAGATTTCAATTTATTAAAATTTTCAGTTTTTCTTTTAAACATTTGAAAGAATTGCTAACCTGATACCGATGGTGATGATGGTGCACACTGGGACTGGGATTTGTTGCTACCGGATACGCAAGGATAAGTATGAAAAGCAGTACCTAGACATTTCGACTCTGCATTCATTGTTCTAGCTATGGATACAGTTGATGATGTTCCTGGATGTATCCGAGATGGTGCCGAACCGCATAGCAATTCAGATTTTGTCAAATTTTGATCAAAATTTGAATTTGCTGATGTACTTACTTTTGTAGTACCGGGAATAGCCGAAAATTCCCTGATATCAATAGCTTTAGTAGCAGTTGCTTCCTTAACAATTTCCGTTTCTGGTGTTTTTTCAGATATTTCGGAGAAGCCATTACTTTTCCTACCAGTACCAATCAAAGATTCAATATCAAATGACTGCATAAAGGCATATAAAATGATTTCCGGATATCGAGTCGTCGGTTTCTTATCACTTCTCCTCAATTCCTACGTTGAACAATAAATAAATGACAACAATCGAACCAAACTTCACTTCCCCTTCTTTGCGAAAAAGTTTACGGTAATTTGTCGTTTTGCATCTTCTATGCTGAACTTTTTCCTTCAAGGTCAAAAGCCCCGCCTTCAGTCAATTCATTTCAACCAATAGATGACGTTCTTAGTCGGTACATTTTGATGGAATAGTGAAATAATTGACACATATGAGAGTTTTAAATTGAACTCGTTCTTCCCCTCTCCCCCCTTCTCCGCCTCCATCCTCTCCTTTCATTCATTCTTTTTTTCCTTTTATGAAAGTTTCTCAAACGATTACAAACATTTTTCTTCACTCCTTCTGCTCATCTCTCTCTCTCTCTCTCTCCCTCATTCCCTACATAGCACTGTCTTTCTGTTCTGTCTTGTAAGAGCTTTGATAAAGTAAAAGACCAATTCGATTATTCGTAATTAATTGTAATAATGTCAGTGATGAATCATTTGTCCCATTTTGCTCAATTGAAAGATAATTTTTGCCTGTTAATTGGGAATTAGATGATTGAAATAAAAATGGAATAATGAATTTAATAATTCCAATTTCAGTTTCAGTTATTCGCAGAAAACATTTGCATTTTCAAACATTTCACACTTTCAATACAATTTTATGTTTGCTGTAACTTATTGAACTGTATATTAGAATAGTTTAACAATCGTTTATACAAATGGAAAAGTTGACAGTTAACACTTATATAAGCGAAAAAAATTAACAGTTAACGGTATTATCAGTAAACGATCATGGAAAAGCATTCATATATCAGAAATAGATCGATCAATAATCGATTAATCCGTAGATGAATTATCATCAATTGTACAAACAAATTCCTCAGTACAATTTCAGTACAGAAAAAAGCAAGAAATTTGCTCGTTCATTTTTTGTCAACTGAACTTTTTTTGTCAAACCAGACGTGCCAATTAACCAAAATATATTTCCTAATATTTCTTCCAAATTTGAAAATACTTTGAATTGTTTCATTTCAACGTATTACTAGCCATCTAAAGAACATTACTATCTGTTTAATGAACATCAATTTTCAGTATTTTAATTTAAACTACTTGATGCCTCAAATTAGTGCTTGTATGCTTTTTATCGATACTTATGTATGCTAATAAAATACTAAAAAGACAAATTTCTCCACCTGTTAATTTCTCCTCCCTCCCTATTCTATTACTAATGTCTGTCCGCAAATTATGTTTCTACACATGTCGCTAAATATGTATATATGTATAACTTTACAACATTAAATGATCATAAAATCACTGTACCGATTTGCTTTTATATGCCGGAGACCTTTCAGAATCTGAAAATCATTCCCTCATTGCTCCATCGATCATAAAACCATATTTTATATTTCGGCACCCAAATAGTCCAACTGCGCATTTCCGCTCAAACATGCAAACAAGAGGAAGAGGAAAGGAAGGATGAGAGCGGAAAGAGAACGAAATTTTTGTTTTGGGACGTAATTTATCGCTCTAATAACAGACATATCACACCTGACAATTGTATATCCTTTACAACCAATAACAATTACTCAATCGTTCTCCCTTTATAGGATTAACTGCACCGATTTTTATTCTAAAATTCATTAATACAAAAGCACTAGTTCGAGAGGAGAAAAAAAAGATTGGACCAAGGGTGGAGAGCGCAAATAAGATACAAAAAAGCTTTCACTACCTCACCATCTTACGCTTATACAGTCAACATAAAAGAAAAAATGAAATGAAACAAAAAATAAAGTGATAAAAAAATTTGATTTGCCGAAAAAAGCAAGAAATACAATTTTTTAACAAAGTTCGTAAACATTCAAAACTTTAAACCTCAAAAAATTCGATTTTAGGAAAAACTTCAACATTTTCTTCTCATCAAACCTCATATTTAATGAAAATCTTGTTTATAAACAAATTCCTCGGCATAGCCATCGTTTGGCACACGACAATTCTGCGTACATGTATATAGCATTACTGTAGCCCAATCAATACTTTTGCCGAGGTCATCAACGCCAATAAGTGCTAAAAGATGGGGCATAAGCTGAAGCTCGAACTGACGCTCTGATCCACATAGGGAACATGATGGAATCACTTGAGGTGGTGGTGCATGATCCGTTGCCATCAATGGTTCACCACCACGACTATAGCGCAACACTTGTTCAGGATTCCGCGCCACTATCTTGAAATATATTGAAATCTAATTAACTGAAGAGATATTCACACACAGATTCAGAAATACTGTAATTGTTTAGCATCTATTTTAAGAATCGATGACATTTTTTTCCTTGCAAATCTGATAACACTTCTTGTATAACTGACATTTGCTAAGTTATCTATCACATTCCATCTTTTTACTTGTTTCGAAAAAAAAAGACCATTATCATTATAATTATAAAACCGTTACCATTACAACTACTTGATTTTAACAAATAGTGAACCTTATTAAAATGTCTGAAAGCAGTGTCCTTATTAGCAAAGTCTTCTAAATCCTCCAAGTCACCCGAATCGCATGGAGTCTGAAAAATCCTCGAGTCAGAAAATTAATTACTGCTGGAGACATGATGAAAACCAAAGAATAATAAAAAGAAATAAATGAACTTGAAATCAACTAGAACGCAATACAAACAAAAAAGCATGATAAACCTAAACATGCTGATATTAATTTACAAATTTCTTATATTTTCCTGTGACACTGCTAACTAGGCTAACAGTCAACAGAAAATATAAGAAATTTCTAGGATCATAATAACAACAAAAGAGTAACTACAGTTTAAGATTTCTGAATGCTAAATAATTTTTTAGAGGTTTATTTCAACAAACATCATTCAACCTTATGATTTTTTATATACTGCCTGTACTCCTCCAAACGTTTCTCGGCATTAGCATCATCACTGTCACTATTACCATCATTATCATCATCATCACTATCAACATGACTGTTTTTTGACAAATGCTCTGTATCCATTTCTATTGCATACTCCGGGAAAACAAATGCATTTATCGCAATACTTCGTTTCCGTCTTACCCAACTATATTCATCATTTCTAGAAAAAAATATTTCTAAAGTTCGGAGAAAAAAGTCCCCTCCTTCTTTTTTTCTAGCTAACTTTTCCTTTCACCCTTTATATTCCATTCGCCATTTCCATTTCTCTAGCTTTATCATCAATAAGACTCACTTTTCATCATTATCATTATCAGAAGTTGTAGAAACTTTCTCATTGGTTGAACTCTGTTTGCAGCATTCTTTTTTATGTGACGAACTCCAATCAATTACCTGATGTTCGCGGCTACAGTACCTGAATAATGAGTAATATCTGCTGTTACCTCATCCAAATTCTAGGTGACTGTTCCAAAAAGAGCAAGAGATAAACAATAATAAGAGCTCAAAACGCGAAAGGCATACATTATTATAGCTAAAAGTATTCTAGAAGGATTCTTATATTGTTCAAAACAGATGAAAATAAACTAAAAAAATTCGGGAAAAAGAATTCGTCTTTTCAATGAATGGAAAAAATCCGGAAGAAAAAGTACCACGTAGATTGACAACGCGCACATTTCTTTGTAGCATTACAGCCACAAATTTGACATAAGTGAGGATACGTTTGTTTCCAGAATGGATCTGGGACTTCACCTTCTAAGTCCGGATCAATAGGTTGTTCAGAAGCATAAAAATCGTTGAATCGTGGTAAGATACACCGAAAAGCACGGACATTACTGGCGTCATTAGTCTGAAACATTGTTTCAGTCATAATTTACCGTGTTTTAATTAGATACATTTTCCAAGATTTTTGGGAGAAATGAAAATTTTGGAGAAAATAAAAACAAATAATCAAATAACAGAAATATAAAATTCACATGATAGAAACTCACTCGTGAACATTGTGAATTTCGACAAATGAAGAAAAATAAAGTACGATGAAACGAATAATCTTGATCATTGGGACTTGTAGCATAAACTTGAATTAAAAACACCATTGGCTTCTCGCAAACCTGAATTGGAACTTCTAAATTAGCCAAACTTTATCTCTATTGTGCTTTAATCCTAATGATGACTTCTGATTTTCAGAAATCGTCAAGTTTAGCAAGAAAACCATTTGTAGCTTTTAAAAGCAGAAAAAATGTTGACAGATATTCGAAGTTTGAGAAATATCAGTCATATGTTTTTTTTAATATATCTCATTAACTCAGGAAAATCTTCTGTGCTCACGGAAGCGATGTCACGCTTTCTGTACATCGCAGATTACGGGAAGAAGCTCTATCTTCCTTATTAATCGGTTTTTTTTAAAAATATTTATCATAAAAACTACACAATAAATGTAATAAGACGAACTCGACAAAGAAGAGAGCTACTATCAGGAAGACTGACTGGATTTAACCAAGCGGGTTTACCACCAATTTTACCCAGTGGCATATAATGTGATAATAAGCGATAGGAAAGCTGAGGCTCAAGCACACTTCCAAAACCCAAATACACAGGATATTCTGCAATTAAAAACAAAGTTGAATTTTAATTTTCAATAATTTTTATCTCGAAAAACTGACCTCCCACAACAAGTTATCACTTCATGATCTATTAGGAAATGTAAACTTAGCTTTAAACTAGTACCATCTACGTAAAAAATCCAACAATAGAAAAGTACCTAATATAATAAAATAATTTCTAGAATGCGAAAACTCTTGATAGTCAACTGAAAAATATTTGATATAAATAAAGCACTTACTTGAAAAAGTCATTTCTGTCAACAACACTGCTATTATTCTTCTTTATCCGGTCTTGCTTCCGACTGATAAGCTGTGTAAACAAATAAAAAAAGCAAAATGTGAACAAGTACAACCGCAAGAATTGCAGAATATAAAATCGATTTCTGATTGTCGTAACCAAGCAGCGCTACGATTTACAAAGATAAGCAGACGTTCAAAATTTACCAGGTATTTAAAAATCTCTTTCTATAACAAATAAGATCGTCTACTTTATCTTCAATACGGTGTTTCTCCGGTTCAGTTTCAGAACTTATTTCAAGTTCTTTTGAAACCTACACCGTTCGCCTGATTTAATACTATAATATAGATGAATTTTTACTGCATATAATACACATCAATTAATAATACGATGGAAATTCTCACTTATCGAAATCCGTTGAAAAATTTTTCAATCATATGTTGGAAAATCCCTCCATGTGGAACAAATATTTACCTTCAAAAAAGAATTTTTTCAAAAGGAACATAGAGCCCAATGGGACTACTATAATTGTTAACGAATACGTTAGCAAATTTTTCACTGCTGTTTGCACAGTTTCATCACGAAGATTAGGAATAAATTGGTCCATTAAATGCTAGATAGTCCAATTCTTGGATTGAAAAATCCTATAAGTTAATATATTATTTATAACAGATATGGCCAAAACGTCAGAAATGCAACATAGCTCTAAAAACATTTTAGTTTAATATTTAGTTTTCTTTTGAACTTTCATATTTTAAGACTAAACACATTTGTATATGTAGAAACGTTGAAACGGAATTTCCCTCTCAGAATAAAACATAATGAAACAAAATGTTTTATCACCGAATTTCTGCCATCAAAATACAGCTTACAAAATAAAATACATTCAATTAGAAATTGTCATAGTAAAAACCCGCAAATGTTACATCACGTATTCATTTACAAGTATACGATAACACTTCAGCCGGTAAAAACAATTGCCAACATTGCTTTATACAATTGTTAACGTATATCATATGGAAAAATTTATCCGTTGTAATGTATGATACACGGAAAATTTATTTAACCGCAAAAGTATGATACCATCAAATCGAGCATGGATTCAAAAATATTTTCTAATTTTTTTCCTATTAAATCGTCCCTTTCTAAGTTAAAAAAATATTTTCTAATTTTTTTCCTATTAAATTTATTTCAATCCATCAGATTTCGTTTTATCAGTTCAAATATATTTTTGTTTATTTAATTAGTAATAAAGTTCATCATCATCCAATAAATCAATAGATTGTTTGATCTACTGATTTATTGGACGATAATGAACTTAATGAAAGTTGTACGGATAATATTTTCCATGTGCACCTTGCAGTCGAAACTACTTTCAAATAATAGATAGAGAAAAAATTTCCGATGAAATTTATACAATAAACATAAAAAACTGAAAGAAATGTACTACGCTTATTATCTGTTCTAAAATAAATTTGCACAAAAAATGAAAGATTGAGAAAAGGATTGACAAGCAAGACACAGACTACACAGCAATGAATCTGATAAAAGTAAGAATTGGAGTGTTCTTGACAATCAGAAATTTTTATCCGTACAATATTTTCTGTGTTTGTCAAAAAAACATAAAACAATACACTTTCTGAGAAATTCGTTTGCGTTCCTTACTCCTCGCAACACAGGTGCCTCATGATTAGAAACATAAGATCAAACTAAAAGTAATTTTAGAAAAAAGATAAATTTCATAAAAAAAATATCGACTTTACATAACTATTAATTAAGATTAGACACTGATATTAATTGCGTATATTTTCGATAACATATCTACTCTTGTTTTTTTACAATTTGCTGCATTTCTGCACCACTTTTTTCTTCCTTGTATGCTACATAGACAAATAGTGCAATCACAAAATAAACGACTAAGGCAGCAATAAGAGCAGCAGGTATAAGAGCAGAAGATGGTGCCCATCCGACGTAATCTGAAGAAAATATAGGTTAATTTGAGGAAGTCATCTTCATTTTCAAACTAAAGATACACACATTAAAAAAGGCGCTTATTTCTCAACTGTTATACACTGTATGAAATAAAAAGTATTAACCAGAAATAGAAATCCACATTGCAATAATTTCGGGGCTACTTCAATTTATATAACAAATACCTCTAAAATTACAATTTGGTGTGAGCCATAGGTTGACTACGTAAAGTGAAACAGCCTCGAGTTCCGTCAATTCAGTCATTTGACAGCACTACGGTTGAACTGATTCTAATAAAAAAAATGCTCACCCTTAATGAAAAGATAGAAACAATACATTGCAATGAATGGTAGCGTGAACATCAACAGACTGTATTTGATGAGGTTATAGAAAGCTACTGCTTGCGTGTTTGGTCGATCTATATATTCCTTGCAGGAATCCTTGAAATCTTAATGCTTTTTAAACTATAACTGAAAGTCTCAAAAAAAAAAAAATTCCAATTGCATATTTTTGCTACGCCAATAATGGAAGAGGGGATAGAATTAAATCAATAAAAAGATTAAGATTATTTTTGTAACTCGCATCGTTACAATTTGAAGCAGTAACTTACGCAATCAACTTCTTCAGTTTTGTTGCAAGAAGCAACATCACGAAATGCATCACCAAGAACACTATAATCATCATCTGAACCTTCACTTGAAGAAACCATTCTCTGAAATACAATAAGGATTTTTAGAGAGAAGAAAAAACAACACTTTTATAAACTTCCATATCACTCCTTCTCTATTTTTTCAACTAATAGATATACGTAAGCAATACCGCGCTTCTCGGATACTTAAGAAACAACCATATTTGCAGTTACACACATTTAATTGTCGAAATATGATATAAAGTGAAACTGAAAAAGAAATGAACTGGAATACCGTTAAATAAAACTATGTTTCGAAAACTGTGAGCAAGACTTCTTCCTCTCCAACTTTCCGTGACAATCCATCATTATTCCCTTATAAAAATCTAAAAATTTCTCGCCTTTCATATAAACGTATTAAATTTGTTTCTAGGGTCAATCTGTCACCCCTTTCTTACATTTATCACATTTAATCAACAACCCCCAAGTATGCTTTGGAATATACATATTTTTTAGAACAAAGCAGTATTTAAGATAATTTTATTCATTGATGACAATGATAACGAAAAGAAAAACGTAAAATACTAACAGGCACATTGTTGCAAATGGAGAGTAAAACAAGGCAAAAAATATTAAAAATCATTTGGAAGTCACAAAAATTTCCCTTGAATAATATAGTATCAGCAAGAAAGCATTGAAATGAAGAGATCCGAAATGCACAGAAAAATAAGAGTAGATGACTATAATAAATTACTAAGAAGTGAAGTAACACATGAACAACTTACACTTCAACAACGCAATAAAACAGAACTTTGACTCGTCCCTCAAATAAAAGTCAAAATTACCGTCAAGACAGAAGCATAACAATTATTTGAAAGTGAAATGTCTAAATGGAAAGAAATAGCTGTTATTCATAGAATGAAAACATATAACTTTTTGTAATCAATAATATTGAAAAAAATCAGTAGATAACTGAATAAGGAACATAAAGAACATTAACTTTATTCCTATTTCGATCACTAGCTGGTTTCAAAATCCCTAGAAATTCCAATTCACCGATACATCGAAAAAGACGTAAAACTGGACTGGTGTCATTCAAATCTACCAAATACTCTTGAAATCTTGCCAACCAACGGTATATCGGAATGCTCTTGCATTCCAGTGAGAGATCGAGAAGGGATCGGTAAGCAAGGCAAAGATCCATTTGAATTCCACTGCGCTAAAAAAGAAAACCTATTCTTGTCTTTCTTAATCAATTAAACTACAAAGAGGTTTTTCTTCATGTCAATTGTAGGTAAAAAATCAATAAAAAAGCAAGAAACCAGAAACTGCTCCATAATCTCTAATTTTGAAAACTTAAGACTCCGAACATACGTGCTCGTTACGCAGTCTCGGTTGCAAAAATGCGTTTTCCAAATTCGCTGTGATGGAAGGGATAACCAAATTCAGCACTTCCTGTTGCCCCACAAGTAGTTTTTTCTCCAAAGCTGGCACTTTATGGAAAATTCTTAGTGTCTTAGACATGATCTGAAAGAAAGAATGCAATACGGATATCAATACCAGTAAGATTAATGAGTATTTTTCTTGTAAAAACAACTCTCTGTTTATGCTATTCACGTCAACATACCTGAGTGAGAAGTCTAATAAATCTCTGCCGATCATGAGATACCACATCCACACGCTTCTTCTGAGCTATTTTATCCTAAAATGACAAAACGTTGAGAATAAAAATGGAGACGGTGACAGTTAACATGCAAGAATAAAAGTACAAAATTTTCTAGTTATTTTTGTAAAACGCTTTCCATTTATTAGAATTTTGAAACCAGAAAATAAATAGTTACATCTGAATCGTATTTTCGTGCGTTTACTAAGTGGTCGAGAAATATCCAAATCCTTAGATGCATCAAGGATTTGATAGGTATGAATTTTTTTCTTCAGATTTTCCTTTTATATCAAGAAAAAAATTATACCCTCATTCGCTGTTGCATTTCGTGCAGCGACAATCTTTTCTTACAAATTCCAATAACTGTTGCTTCACGTTCCGATAATGCTTCCCTCTGCAGTGTGGTTTTCCGCTGATCAATTTCTCGTAAATCAACAAGCAATTTCTGCAGCATATTCCACGATTTAGTAAGCATTTTCTAACTGTTCATCTCTGGCACATGCTGACCAAATAAGATTAACCACAATAACCCCCTAAAGTAATTAAATTACTTGTATTTGATGTGAAGGAGTTAACAATCCTAATAACTATACAGTACAAGATACTTACCATCAACAGCAGCAGAAGTGGGTATCAGTCAATCAATGCATTAATTATAATACTGAAAAGACTTACCAGGTAGAACTATTCTAAACTAATTTGGTAATTAACTATATATTTAATATGAAAATACTTATTAATTTTCACAAAGA